AAGACCACTGTGAGAAGACCTGTGGTCTCCTTGACCTTTGAGTACCTCATTAAAGTTGGTTGAAAGTAAACAGAGCTTGGAAAATAAACAGTTCTTAAGTGTTCCCGCATTCATAGTGTGCGCTCACCATGTCTCCGTAGATCTCATCAACAAGGATTGGGATACAGTTTCTTGATGCCACTAGATCACATAGAATATTATCAGATTAATATCCTGGAATTTCCAGGGATAAACATTCCTCATATATTATTTGACTAAACATTCACCTGCAAGAATCTTATGCTGGTGATCTTTGGTGAACACAGAACCGCACGGATTGGATGGGTTGTTGACAATCAGACAGGCTGTTTTGTCATCGATCAGACTTTCCAGGTGCTGAAGATCAATCTCCCAGGACTTCTCCGGCTAAAGGATCAAAAGATCAACTGAAGTTAGAAAGAAACTCATCTTAGGCACGACACAGTCAAGAGTTATTGTAGAACTGGAAAAAGGGATTATATAAGTGCTAAAGAAGATTAAAACGATATTAAATTCAGTTGAAAGGCATCCTTATATTGTTTAATGTCTGCAAATAAAATTATTCCTATCTCAGTTGTGTTTGGAGCTATACCACTTATCATTTATTTATACTGTATATATTAAAGCCTACAGAAAAACAATGGTATTATTGAACTATATATTTCTGTGTTATTTGCATGTGCGTGTATATGGTTGTTTTTATTTATCGGTCCCAGATGTGGACCATATAGGAATGACACAGCAATTTTCCCCATCCACTCCACAAACCGTTCCCACATTTTGCACTTATATTGTATTCTACTTGTATTTTTTATTCTGACCCCAAGCTAAGCTGATGTGATGGACTTTGTTTGACTTACACACTCATGCTATCAGTGTGATTTACTCACCAGCAGATTGTAATGCTTGACTTGGATGCCCATAGACACTGCAAGTGTCTTATAGAGGGAGAATCCAGGACGTGGAACTAAGATATTGTCTCCTGGGTTACACAACACACTGATGGCCAGCTCTATAGCCTGGCTACAGCCACTGGTTAAGATCACATCCTACAGATTAAAAAAATAATAATAATAAAACTTAATCAGCTTACAAAAGCATTATATGAAAAATGACAAATGATGGATTTGACATACTTTGCCTTCCAGTGGAGCTTCGGGACAGCTGTAAAAGTTTGAAACAGCTTCTCTGCTCTTTTGGTAGCCTAATGTTATTAAAATGCTGATTATTTTCACGAAGAGCAAATCATACACAGTTTATCAGAATGCAAAAGCAAGGTGGGACTATTTAATCATCGTCTACCTAATGCCACAATTAATTTTTTTTCATACAATTTCAGCATTACATTTTTAATTAAGCAGAAAGTGAATGTGTAAGTCTTACCTACTGATGGAGCATAGCCATTGTATTTGTGTGAGTCTATGGCCTCCTTCATTGCCTGTAAAACGGTGTCATCTGTTGGCAAGTTCCCAAACACTGTAGGGTCACCTAGTGGAAAATGAAGCCCAAAACAGACATTTACATTTAACCGTTTAGCAAAAAGAATATTCACTACACTTAAGTTGAATGAGACAAAAATAAAAAAATTGTAATGACAAACTAATAACACCTGGTTACAGCTATGATACACAAAACAGTTTTTCAATTGCTGTCTCTATAACTAAATATCTTACATTTGACAAATATATAAAACTAAATATATAACTAAACACCTACATATAACAAAAAAAAAAGGTTGTAAGGTTTAAGTGTTTAGTTATAGCCCAGCTGATTATAGAACTAAATTACAAATATTTGATCATCACATTTTATGGAGTTATTTGCATATAAGTAATTTGATCTACACTGTAAAAAAAATTCCGTAAAATTTACGGTAAAAAAACGGCAGCTGTGGTTACCGGAATTTTACCATAAAAAATACGGTAGCAACGTTTTAGGTTTTACGGTTTTAACTTAAATTTACAGTTAAATACCGTAATTTCATTAACTGATATAATGTTAATATACCAACCTACTGAGGTACTGAAATCAGTTTTGTACCTTTGTAATACACTGATAACCACCAAATGCAGGAGGTGATGAGAAAGTCACATGATGAATCAAAGCCCATCACAAATAGCTTTTAAATAATAACATATATAGAAGGTGCACAGTGTCATTCACACAAACGCTAAACACCATCATGGTAACACACGACACTGAAATAATGCAATAAACATTCATTTAACAACATTAGGTGTAACACACAACCCTAATATACAAAACTGATAAGAAAAAACTAAGGAACATAGTTATTTCAACAAAACAACATCAAATTTGAAATGTAACGCAGGGAATTCTGGGAATGTCAATTTACGGTTATTCACTGTAAATTATACGGTATTTTTCACTTCCAAAAACGGTATACTACCGTAAAATTTATGTCCAATACATGTAATGTCCAATACAGTTTTTCACCGTATATAGTAGGGGAATTTACCGTTAACCATTTAACAGGTTTTTACTGTAGCATTTTTACAGTCTTTTACCGTTAAATTCACGGTAATTTTTTACAGTGTATAACTTACCAATGGATAGAGCAATCATGGGTTTCTCAGGGTTGGGAGTGAGTTTCATCCCGTCCACTATGGCTCGGATGGGGTTGAGTGTTTTTTTGGACATCTCTGAGGGTCTGACGTTCCATCTCTGCCTGTGGCTCTTCAGTTTGGCCGGGTTCACACTCACATGAGCCCGCACACTCACATGATGCACACCGTTCCCGTTCATGCCATTGTTCTGCGCTCCGTTCATTTTCACCACAAAAGACATTTTTTTTGGTCTGTGCACTTTTGAAAGAGATGATGTCTAAGGAATGAAAAAGTTGACATTGGTAGAGTAAAATATGTTGACGAATACTTAACGCAGATGAACGTTTTGGCTATGGGTTTTAGACCGACGTCAAAAACGGAGTTGGATTTTATATTTTATTTATTGACAAATAAGAAAACATTTTAATAGTGTTTACATACAGTATTGTGTACATTTTCAAACATTGTTTCTATAGACACAAAAGTTAAATTAGGCCTACATTGCGGTAAATTATACTGACTAAATAAGACAAACACCGCAATGCAATGCATATATAAAAAAGTGCAGGCAAATAAATTACATCACATACAAAAAATAGTAGCCTAAATAATCAGATTAATATATGACTGTAGAATTTTAATATTGTCTAACCTTCGCCAAATAGACAATATTCTGATATATATTCTTATATCTATTCTAAAATATTAATTTTTATGTTTTTAACAATAAAGATTTTTTATTTTAGACACTAAATGAATAAAACCCCTTGCTTTATAAGCAACATGCAGAACTTATAATGTAACATAAATACCTTATTAAGTTGCTTATTATAAAAATCACGCTCCAATGGCTGGGGATGAGATAAATAGTTACTATTCTTATATCTATTCTAAAATATGAATTTTTATGTTGTCTAAAAAATATGCAAAACATATATGCCACAATAAAGATTTTTATTTTAGACACTAAATGAATAAAACCCCTTGCTTTATAAGCAACATGCAGAACTTATAATGTAACATAAATACCTTATTAAGTTGCTTATTATAAAAATCACGCTCCAATGGCTGGGGATGAGATAAATAGTTAAATTTGTGCATAGAATGATTAAGTCGGTTCATAGACAGGCTTTATACAGAAGAAATGGGTGTTGAACCCTGCCCATATTTCCATTGGTGGAGACCGAGGGCAGTCCAAAACTCCCCCGTTACATCATAAGTCTAAAATTCTATAGTTTTGGGGTTGAACCTCATCCTCCTCTTTCTAGAACCTGCGGCGCACAGGATCTAAGCACGCGATCTGTGCGTAAAAGCGCGAGGAGCGCAAAAGCTATCCTTCACAAAACACGAGTTAGAGATATGCACATGGCGCTCATTTGTTTTTAGAGACACTTTCTTTCTTTCAGATATATTGCTGTCTCATTTTCTCACCTCAGCCTATTTTTAATTACCTTTTACTATTACTATTAGTCGCACCTGTTTCCAGTGCACATTTATAAAGAGAGAAGCAGTTTAACACTGTATTTCAGACTTTCGATACTGCTCTTAGATATCATAAAGCAGTGGTTCCCAACCCTGGTCCTGGAGGCACCCCAACACTGCATGTTTTGCATGTCTCCTTAATCAGACACATCTGATTCAGATCATCAGCTCATTAGTAGGGACTCCAAGACCTGAAATTGGTGTGTCAGAGAAAGGAGACATGCAAAATGTGCAGTGTTGGGGTGCCTCAAGGACCAGGGTTGGGAACCACTGTCATAAAGCATCATTTGGAGAGTATCCTCCACATCTGTAGTGAGAATGAAAAGGGCTGGTCTCCACATCTGTCTTACATAAGTTAAGCTCACGTTTTTGGGGGGCTGGAGATGTTTTATTGGCTGTGGCCCTCCAGGAACTGAGTTTGAATCCTCTGGGCTAGCACATGTTAGTGTTGTTTATGCCTTGATTTCTAATCAACTGCAGAGTTTAGCTCCAACCCTAATTAAACACCTGAACCAGTTAATAAAGGTCTTCAGGATTACTAGAAACTTCCAGGCAGGTGTTTAGGAGCTGGTTGGAGCTAAGCTCCGGTAGCACATGTTAGTGTTGTTTATGCCTTGATTTCTAATCAACTGCAGAGTTTAGCTCCAACCCTAATTAAACACCTGAACCAGTTAATCAAGGTCTTCAGGATTACTAGAAACTTCCAGGCAGGTGTTTAGGAGCTGGTTGGAGCTAAGCTCCGCAGGAGAGTGGCCCTTCAAGACCAGAGTCTGACACGTGGTGTCACTGCATTAAAAAAAGAGTGACATGCACATTTCCCATTCATGCTTCACAGAAAGAAAAGGGAACAAAATGATGTAAATAATTACAAAATATTGACTTTTTTTATTTTGTGAAATACTGCTTTAATAAAATGTCATATGGCTTAAAATTAAATAAGAAAAAATGCTGTCATTTGGATGATTTACGTAACACTTTCAAACTCAAACAATCATCATTATTCAAAACACTCTTTTTATTTTTTTCTACCTGAAATAATAAATTAGACTGCATGTTCTGCATATCTGATGCAATAATGACAAAGTAGTTTGCAATAGCATCAAGTCAAATTTACACTGAAGTCCGGTAAATAAACGTCAGAATGAACAGTTTTACACGGCAAAAACCTTGAACTTTAAACTCACAACTCTCATGTTTTTTTTGTACTTGTCATAACCACCTATTTAAGAAACCAACACGTAACACTGAATCATTGAGGCTAAGACTAACCTTAAAACACTTCTGCCCTGATGTGCTATTTAAACTGAAAGTAGTGTCAACGCAACCTTTTAGGCAAATGAAGGTTGCACTTAAATCTAAGTCAAAAAACACACAACCTAATCCAAAATGTCTGTCATTACATAAACTTTCCAGGTCAATCAAAGGAAGCATGTCAACATGTTTCCACTAAAGCACCCCATCCAGAGACCCAGCGATAACCCTGACCCACCATATGCGTCACTAAACCAACAGCACACAGTGTTCAACATCAGAAACCATGTCATTTTAGAGTTATAGTCACGCTTTATAGGGCCTTCAGGGCAACAGGAGACTAAAATAATTGATTACAAAAAACATACAGGACACAAATATTTTGGTATTGACCATCAAGAGCTTTAGGGCAAGCATTTTGACCTACGTGAGGTAAACGATGAGGTTAAAAAGCTGTATAGTTTCCTAACCCTAATGTGAGTTTATTCAAATATCCGATGTAAACTGTTAATGCATCTATAAACATGATGAAGACCACGTTAACTGGCACTTTCTTTTTGGTGTCTTCTGATTTACTCTCCGATAGGCTTGTAATCAGGGTCATCAGTCTCAATCTTCTGAGCATCAATCAGAATACAGTGCATTTACACCAAATGACATGCATTTATAATCGGGCTCTTCTTCTTCTAAATTGTCACAGGCTCTGTATGAATCCATGGCACTGGAACACTCCTTCCACTTAAGGTTGGAGCCACTTGGATTGCATGAGGAAGCTTTGACTCTCTAAGGACAGTTTCTGTGAAGACAACGATAGCTAAAATCTGTCCTGCATTGTTTCTACGCTGCTTTGAGGCTGTGGACTGAGATGATGAGGAGGACTGTTGGAGAACTGAAGATGAAAGAGTAACTGGATTCTTTGAGGACACTGGTGAAAGACTGACCTGCTGACCATCAAGAGCTTTAAGCATTTTGGCCACCATGAGGTAAACCGATAAGGTAAAAATAAAGTTAAAAAGCTGCATTTTTTCCCAACCCTAATTGATTTTATTCAAACATTCAATGTAAAATGCTAAAATAGGTGTCCGAGTACCTATGCATCAGAAAAAAACGGATGAAGAGCACATTTGCTTGCAGTATTTCTTTGATGTCCTCTGATTTAGTCTTAGTTGGGCTTGTAATCAGGGTCATCAGAGTCTGAATCTTCTGAGTATGAATCAGAATACAATGTATTTACATCAAATAACATGTACTGATCACCTTCATGCTCTTGTTCTCCTTCTACAATGTCACAGGCTCTGTATGAATACATGGCTCTGGCACACTCTTCCCTGCTCAGTCTATTAAGACACACTTGAGGTTGAAGCCACTTGGACTGCATGAGGAAGCTTTGACTCTCTAAGGACAGTTTCAGATTGTGTTCATTGGTTCTGCTTGGTTCGGTGAAGACAACAGTAGCTAAAATCTGTCCTGCATTGACTCCACATTGCTTTGAGGCTGTGGACTGAGATGATGAGGACTCCTGGAAGACTGAAGGTGAAGGAGCAACTGGATTCTTTGAGGACACTGGTGAAAGACTGACCTGCTGGATGTAGGACAGTGAAATGTTCGTAGAGGATGAATCTGGGTTTGAGGACAATGAGTGCTTGTTTGGAGATGCTTGAGGTTGTGGTGTGTACAGGAGAAGATGTGGAGTGCTCTGGGTTGATGTGGGAGTGCATTCTGCCTGTACGACTTCTCCATCAAGCTCTTCAGAACATTCCTGAAGGATGCTCCTCATTTTTTTGCCATGTCTGGAGCACATCTGCTCTTTAAAATCCCTCTCACTTTCCTTCTGTTCAGAGTGAGTCTCCGCCTGTCTCTCCCTCCCAACCAGGTCCTTCTCCACCAGAAGAGACTGGCTGAAGTCAATCTGATCTATTTCAGAACCTGGCAACTGAGTAGATGTAACGATTACTCCATCCCCACAAATCTTCTCCTGATGTAAAATGGTTTCTGTGTTTCTATTTTGCCACAAGCCCTGAGAACCAAAGAGCTCGTTTGTGCTGATTTGTGAGAGTCCATCCTCTTTTGTGCTGTTCTGAGATGACCTCAAAAATACACCGAGGGTACCATGGGATGGTTTAACAACTTCAGCGTCCCTTTGTTCCTCACAAGTGTTTGCAAGTGATGGTGTGAGACTGTCGTCAAGGCTTAGATTTGTTGTTACAGCTGTAAAATAGAGGAAATGAAGATGAAAATAAAGTTATCTGTAATTCCAAAGCTGTTATGGCAAATTCTGAGACAGACAAAATCATGTTTCTTACCGCAACGTAGGAGTCTCTTCAGAGCTGAGGCTAGAGAGGCACTTTTAATTGAAAGTAATTTTTTTAGGATCTTCTCTCCCCTCCCATATGAATAGGACTGCTTCAGTAACTGGACAGAACAGAATAATATACCAGTAATAATATGAATATTTTGATTATATGATAATAATGTGTTTAAAGAACGCCTTATTTTTGATCAAACTGAATGTAAAACATTTTAAGGACCTGCAGGAACTCTGACTAGATATTTAGCCAATATATTTATGTGTATTTAGTTGCTGGAATATTTTCACCTGTTTTATCACCTGTCAGCAAAAACTGTGCTATTTTTTTAGTCTTTTTTTAAACAGTCTTTTTGTTTAGAAAAATAAAAGCACAAAGAAATAAGTACAAAAGAAATAAAAAAGCTTCTTAAAAAGCATGACTAAACAGAAAATGCAGCTACTTTAGATACAAAAGCACATAAACAGTTACCTGTTCAATACACGTAGGTTGTGGCAGGACTTGATCTAGCTCTCCCAAATAGTGTGAAAGTCTCTCCTCCAGTTTCTGTGCATAGCATTCACCATATTGCTCTTCCATTAAATCCTGCGAAGTTGAATAGTCACATTTGATTTGAAGATCTGGAATTGATGCAAACTAGTGCTTATTTAATTAACGTACCATTCAAAGAATAATTTGTAACCACTAAAACATTTATTTATTTATTTTTACATGAGAGCAAGTAATTTTCACTAACCCGAATGTAAGTCTCACGCATATCCCTGTCTCTGGCCAGAACATGAGCAAAGGACTTGAAATCTTCCCGGTTTTTCTGCATCAGATCCATGTTCCTGCGGCTCTATATAGAAGCATGATTTAAGAAAAAAAGGAAAGGCAAGTGTTAAAAAGCTCAACAGTCCTTAAAAATATTTTATATGATAAAGGCATTATTTGTGTCAACACAGACAATACAATACAGCAATGACACATTCTCAGATATTAACTTAATACACTTTAACAAGATCCCATGCATCACATATAGTACATTTATCAATTATTTAGGCTTTTTGTGAATTTATGGTGGCCCCTGGTGGAAGGAGATCATACTTACACATTGGTGGTACTCTGGGAGGCTTTTAGGAAAAAAGTTTTCAATCTTGTCAAAGATTTTAGCAGTGCTCTGGTCATTCCACAACATCCACATGATAACCTTAAAAAAAAAAGAAAAGCTCATGAATCGTAAAGTAGTCATGTAATGACAAACAAATGAATATTCATACAATTAAAAACAAAAACATTCCAACTTAAAAAATAAAAAATAAATCCAGCCAACACGTGTATTCTATAAAATTAAAGAAGAAACTTGGCTTCATTAATTTTATCAATGCAATCAGACAGTGTACATCACCTTTGGGAGAATTTAAGTTGCTATTTATCTCCTTTTATTAAATGTGATTTAAACTTTTTGCTGACAGAAATATTAACCATACATTGAACGTATTGCATTTTTTTTCCGGATCGGCATTTATTTTTATTTTGCTTACTTTGCCTTTCTTGTTCAGATTTCCCATTCCGCAAAATATCTTAAACTCGTAAATAAAAAGAATAACAAATTTCTGAAGGACCGCGGTTTAATTTTTCTTACTGATTGAGGTGTCTGCTGTTCACCTGTTTGTATTTTTCCTTTTCCTTTTCGTTCTATGTTCTTTAATGGAGTGCTGATTATTATGATTATTGTTATTTTCATATTATTATTTATAATTATTGTAATGAACAATGAAAACCCATGGAAAAAAGTCATTTCTGATTAGTTGACTTCATTGTATCTAAGAAAACAATGTCTTACCAGAGTCTGCAGACCGAACATGATCTTCATGTGTTTGATGGGAGTCACTAGTCTTGGCACAAGTGTGTAAGTAACGTCCAAAAACTCAGTGACTCGCTCAAAATGCTTGATGTCTCTGGCTTGCACGATCCTCCAGACCTCTGCCTCCACCACACGGATTCTGCACGGCTCTTCAAGGGTCAGAAGATGCCAGTCACCTTCTAGCCATAATGGAGGTCCTAGAACTAAAAGCATTGAAAGTTGATTAGATCTCCCATGCATTCATTTTGAACTAGTTTAAGTTGAATCTATGACTTACACCAACTGTGCAGTCGATTTATGATTAAAATAAAGTAATATAGTAACTGTGTAATTACATGCAAATGCATTGATTCAATAGATTATACTTTTTAATTGAAAGCAATGCAAGATATGCAAGAAATACGTATGTAAAAATCATAGTTTGATAGGTTTAACAGGTTTAATTGGGTTATTAAAAACAGTGCAGGAAACACCTTCTAAGACCTCCGTCATCCGTTTAGTCCATGCATATTCAATGATCCATAATGGTAAAGCAGGAATAAGGTGAGCGCAAGCTTTTTCCAGCCACAGGTTTTCACTCATTCCAGCCAAAGCAACACTTTCAGTCTTCAACACTGTCATGATGTCCAGGCATCAGCTGCTTTCAGCGCAGAGCATCTGATGTGAGCTACTGCATGCAGGAAACTTCCAGTTATTGACTCTGCTGAGAAGATGATGATGAGCTCCATTTGAAAGTCAAATTTTGTTAGGCATGTCCGGGCACGTTTAGGAAGTCAATGACGGAACGGTTTACTTTCACTCATAGAACATCAAAGTGAGAAATATCACGGAATAATTCAATGTCGTTCGACTGCACAAAATGCTCATTATAAGTCAGTGCAAATATTCTTTGTGTGAAAATAGAAATTGTTGACGGTGATGTTTTAAAAAAAGCACCGATGAAGCAACATTTCAAAATAAGAGCGCAGTTCCATGGTCACCTAAAATAACTTGAACTAGCATTTAAATAAAAATGAGAAATTATATTTGTCTTCTAAGTTTATAGGTAAAAGCAGAGAAGTGAAAAATTAGACGACATATTAAAAATAAAAACGTTCTGATTTACCGTTCTTGCCATAAAGTTTCATATGAAGGGCCAAATTAAATAAAATAATTAAAATGTTTAAATATTTAAACTATGTATATATATATATATGTATGTACATACACAGATGTGCATTTCGTTTTATTCATAGGCAAAGACAAGCAAAGTTCACTTTATCGTTGAAAATACAATTCAAAATATTTTAACTTTTAAAAATTGGCATACATAAATCATGTAGATCATTTTTATTTCTGACAATATTTAAAGGGGTCATATGATGCGATTTCAAGTTTTCCTTTCTCTTTGGAGTGTTACAAGCTCTTGGTGCATAAAGAAGATCTGTAAAGTTGCAAAGACTAAAGTCTCAAATCCAAAGAGATATTCTTTATAAAAGTTCAGAGTCAGCCACACCTACCTAAAGCGGCTCGTTCTAACACGCCCCCACATATCTACGTCACGATGTGGGAAGATTTGCATAACGCCGCCCAAATGTTCACGCAAAGAAAGTAACTTTTATTCTCGCTGTATTATTGTTGCCGCCGCCGCCATGTCGTGAAGATGCTGTGTGTTTCGTTGTGAAAGCGAAACTACTTAGTTTGGTCTTCCAAAAGAGGACACGACTAGAAATCAGTGGTTAAGTTGTATTTACAACACTGTTCCAGAACAGTTCAACCCAAATATCCAGATGTGTGCAGCGCATTTTATGGAGGACTGTTTCCTCATCCTGGTAGAGTAGACTACAATGCCGGCTGTTCTGACTCACAGACTGTAAGTACGTTTTTTATATTTAAAGGATTTGCCACTGACGAATCAAACGCGAGTTTGAGCAGTGTACAGTAGCATTTGTAGTTTGTCATTTCTCCGATCACAAATGAAGACATGGTTTTATGTTTACGCAGCGCGATGCAACGCAACACGCAAAAAGACAGTATAAGTCATTATAATCCGTAATTATGTCCCCACTGGATGCAACAAATGCCTCGTTTGTAATGGGTTTTAATGTTTTTTGTCTTGTCCCTGCACAGGGCACCACATTAGGTGCATAACATTTCCGTCTCACGCTTGAGGTATTCGGCCAATCACAATGCACTGGATAGCTGGCCAATCACAGCACACCTCGCTTTTCAGACCGACGAGCTTTGTAAAAATCGACACGTTTCAGAAAGGTGGGGCATAGAGGAGAAACAATAATGTACAGTATGTGGAAGATAATGTGTTTTTGGAACCTTAAACCGCATAAACACATTTCATTACACCAAATACACAAAATAATGTTCTTTTTAGCAGCATCATATGACCCCTTCAAGGCTAAAATGGGTTGGTAAAGAGACGTGGTTCAAGGACATTAAAATTACTCACAAGCGTGCAACAACTTTTATTTTGAAAAATGTATTTCCTCCAGCTTCACACTTAAAAAAAAACCCTGACATAGCGCTTGTTGGCGTGATGTGCTGACTTCTGGAGATTTGATATTTTGACGTGGTGACCAAATCTCCAAATGTTTGATGCCATAATTTCGGTTTTATACTGATAATAGAGAATATAAAAGTTGCCTTTGAAGGTGAGTGTACAGCAGTATTTAGAATTGTGTACACGTCGTATACAGTAAATGCGTTCTGTCTATCTATCTATCTATCTATCTATCTATCTATCTATCATTTGATGTCTGTGCACGTCACTCATATATTTTAGTAAAATATATTTTATGATGTAGCCACACTTTATTTTTTGTATTTGTACAAATCATTAAATAATCGTGTTTTAACTTTGCAGTTATACTGTAATATTTGCAAGCAAGATGCCACCACGAATTGACGACGTAATGAAACTGTGTTGTGAACTCTCCGCAAATCAACAAGTGAAAACAGCGGTGAAGCAGTCTGGAAAAGGAGCAGCGGCCGCTGGTGGTTTAGCTTTTGCAGGAGGCTTAATTGGGGGTCCTCTAGGAATTGCAGTGGGCAAGTCCATTCATACCTTACATACAGGTGTCAGCCTCATATATAATATGAAATAATGTTTTTCTTACTTGTGCCTTTGTCTTTTTAAGGTGGGGCTGTCGGTGGACTGATTGGATGCTGGATGACAAGCGGACAGTTTAAACCTCTACCTCAGGTTATCATGGAAATGACAGCAGACCAGCAGCGCAGACTCTATGAGGATATTGCAGCCGCTTTAGGCTCAATAACATGGACTGATGTTGCACAGCTGACTGCCCTTGTAATGGGAAACGCCACACTACAGCAGCAAGTGACCGCTGCTCTTCTGAGCTATATACAAAAGGAACTTCAAGCTGAAGTGCATTATATAGACTGATTTAACCTTATTTTGAATGTGAAACATTTCAGAGCTTATAATCATGTGCCATACGGGTTGTTTGATTGGATGCTTGAGTACTGTAGTTGAAACTGGCATACACCGCATATTTTTTACTGTCTAAAACTGTTTGTAACTTTATATGGTACATTTGAATCTATGAAATCTTGTTTCCACCACAGGATTAAAAACAAAACAAAAAAGAAAACATAAAAGGTAGTAAAGTTTCTATCTGATAATTATGACTTTTTTCCCCTTGCATTTTTGAGGGGAAAAAAGTCAGAATTATTACATGGCACAAACAAAGAATTGCGAGATGTAAACCCAGAATTCTATGGAAAAAAGTCTTGAGTTATGCGATATAAACTTGCAATTGTGAGATAAAGGTAATGCGACTTAATCTTACAATTTTCACTTTTTTCCTTGCAATTCTGAGTTTATATCTCTGAGAAAAGTCAGAATTATTCCATGATGGAGACTAAAAAACAGATTTGCCTGAATTCGGAGGAAAAAAACGTCTGATTTGTTAGATGTAAACTAGCAATTACGAGAAAAGTCTGAATTGTGAGATAAATATAATTGTGATTTTTAACTCACAATTCTGACTTTTTTCCCCTCACAGAACAGAGATAAAAAGTTGCAATTACTTTTTAAATTTTTTATTCCCTGGCAGAAACAAGCTTCCATATGAATCAAGCACTGTATATTCTTTGCAATAATATCCTGACATAATGTGCCATATTTTCAGAACACTTAGGAAGCATTATAGAACATATGTGAATGATATTGTTGAATCATTGCCTTTTTAAAAATATTTAATTGAAATTTTTTTTTTGGTCTGATAGAACTGTTTGTGTTAATTTGTAACCAAGATTTGCATGCCTCAAAAATAGATGTAGGTTGCTTTAAAATATATATTTATTGATATTTAGATTTGGACAGACATTAAAAGCATACAGTGAAAATGTCCATTGTTTATCCAACAATTACAGTATCCTCATCAGGAAACTCATAATAAGGCACCTCCAAGTTGAGAGGTGCGAGTCCTTTTCTGATCCTTCCTGAAGCATCGTAATGTGACCCATGGCAGGGGCAGTAGTACCTGCCGTAATCACCGGCATTTGTGATTGGGACACAGCCGAGATGAGTGCAGACACCAGTGACGATGACCCAGGTGGGGTTGGTGATGCGGTCTTTGTCATGCTGGGGGTCCCAGAGCTCTGAAAGATCAATGTTCTGCTCGGCTGTGATCTCCTCTGTTCTGTGACGAACAAACAGAGGCTTGCCTCTCCACTTGAAGGTCATGTTTTTCCCCTCTGGGATGTCAGACAACTTTATCTCGATTTTGGACAGGGCCAGGACGTCAGCAGAGGCACTCATTGAGGACACGAAATGGGTCACGGTGTAGTGCCGAAATTTGCACCCTGCCAGATTATGCACCCCCTAGTATTGGTAGGTTTAGGGTTAGGTGTGGGGGAGGGGTTAGGATTAGGGGTGGGGTTGGGATTAGGCAATCCGATAGCGACTTCAACGAGGGGGTGCATAATCTGGCAAGGGTGCAGAATTCGGCACAACACGTGACGTGCTCCAAAATGGCCTAAAAAGGATATAGAACAGTCATTGCATAAACTTAAAAGGGATAGTTTTCACAAAAATATCTTTCTTCTGTTTAACACAGATGTTCACTTTCACTGCATAGAAAAAAAAGATGCAATGAAACAGCATAACAGGTGATGACCCCTTAATTTTTTTTTATATATATAATGTACTTATAATATCAAAAATATGATTTACTATATGATTAATTATTGTATTAGAAGGAGGTCTGGTGGTATGCAATAACAGAACCACAACAACCAGAAAGTAGTAAATATATTTAATATATGAAAAAATATAAAGACATCTTATTAAGACCTTTAACTTTTAGACTATTTCTGCAGCATAACATATATGTCTGGAACAGGACTGGGTAAGTAACTTTAAAAAAGTAATGAATTACTAGCTACTAATTAGATTGCTGTACTAATTACTCTCTAAAAAAAAGTATGCGTTACTTATTACGTTCTAAATCCTATATAAACTTCGACCAGTTGAACAATAAGGATAGACATATAACTGCTGTTTTAATTCTTTCAAATGAATACTATCAAATTGAATCAATTATTCTTGAACTGACCAAAGAATTTTAAAAGGGACAAGGTAACACTAAAAACATACATTTTAACATTAGATGTTAAATTCACTATTGTTTTACATAGAATTATTCGGTAGTCAATACAATATTCAATTACATCAGAAGTAACTGTAATTCAATTGCAGAAAAATAAAGAGTAATCCGTTACTTTATTTTATACAGTAATTAAATACTTGGTAATGCATTACACCCAATACTGGTCAAGAATCAAGTCTTGAACAGCCTGTCCACGTTATATGGTCACCTACCACACACAGCAGGTTTTATCAGCACTTCTGTGTTTACTGCTCTGAGAAGCAATGCTTTCAGCGGACCACAAGCTTGCAGGTAAGGGGACAAAGCCCCCAAACGGGGGGCAGGGACATCATTTTTTGTGCTGTTATAAAGGCTACTTACAGCCGGTACGGTCACACCCAGTGTTGCCAACTAATTTCCAGGGGAAGTTGCTAAAGGAAGGGTTTTCTTTATTTTTATGCAAAAATTATACAAAGATTTGTACAAACTCGCAGCAAGTACAAAAACAAATAAACAATCATAATATGTCAAGTGAAACAATTCAAGCCAGGGGTAAAATTACAACAATTTAAAGTAACAAAAAGCTTCATAGGTCTTTCTAGCTTTTTTGTTCTTAATTTTGTCTAATGTGGTACCATATTGTTTAATCTCTTTTATAAAATGTTCAAAATTTGGCTTAGCTTTAGACCATTTTTTCACATGAATGTGATATTTTCCAAATAAAATAAAAAGTTGTGTAAGAAAGCATATCGGACTTTTGGAATCAACATCGTCCTGTACAAAAAATATGCTAGAGGAAGGTCGATTTGTTGCTAAATGATGTTGTGATGTCATTGCGCGATGCCGTCATTACGTAATCACGACGCAAAATTGTCACGACATCAAATCTCAGCAAAAATAGATTTTTAATGTTAATTTAAATGTGTTCGTAAAATACTATAAATGCATAATACAATGTTAAAATATAAATAACTATTTTTATATACAGCATTGAACGATTTAATTTTTGAACGATTACAAGCTTTTTTTATTAGCTAGTAAACTAGTAAAACTACACATTCTGAACAGTTACAGTTTTAAGCAGTGTATTAGTAGTCAGTATGCTACACTCTAAGAAAATAAATCACAGGTTTTTACCTGCAATTTAAATTATGCATTCTATTTTGTGTTTTCGGGTTACAGGGTTAAAATTACTAGTACCTTTGCCATTTTTCTAGATATTTTTCTTACAGTGTACTAACTGATCAACAATCACATGTACAAGCTACTAACAAGGTGTATCATAAATGAACAGTTATTAAATTATTATTGTTATTATCAAATTGAACAACTGCAAATAGCAATAACTTAATGCGTGTGATGTGTGTACTTCTAGGCATCTTTGGTTTCCTCTTTTTGTGAAATTTAGATGGAAAATCTGTGCCTTTTTTATTGTTTGAGTCACTTATTAAAAGTTGCTAAAAGTAGCCAAATAAAATAAAAAAATAGCTAAATTTGTTGCTAGGTGCCTTTGGAAGAAAAAGTTGTTAGGCTAGTCTGAAAAGTTGCTAAATTTAGCAACAAAATTGCTAGGTTGGCAACACTGGCAACACCTTTGAAGAGAGAGCTGGTACAGCGGAAGCTCCTCCCTCGGTACTTCACAGTTGACCGGCTATTGACTGAACGGAAAGCGCAAAGTAAAACAGAGATGGTAAAATAATTCCTTCTATAAACCTATTGAAATGATAAGTACGATACATAATTTAATTAGTAACTCATATTATTTTCAAATGTATTTGTTGAAATATTTAAATATTTCTGATAATTGCTATAGTTTTGAACAGGCAGTGCAAGGCAGTCTCGGGAAAATGTAAACAGTAGTGTCGAGACGTTCGACTCATTTCGGAGAATCGGTTCTTTTGAACAGTTTTCGTGAACCCGATTCTTCTCAGCTCACTCAACGGTTCGCGGCTGAATGAATCTTCGCGAATGAATCGTCCAAACGTGAATCAATTCATTAAAAGAGATCTGATTCAAAACCAAAAATGTGTTCGCATGTTGGTCATCTCTTGGGCACACTGGTCGAGATCCGCAGGATGGTCACCTGAAAATTAAACATGAGATTTGTACGCCGGAAAATAGCGATCATAATTGTTTTGGCTTATGTGATATTTTCGCTGTATGCAGCGTATAATGTATTTTTCAACAAGAGGGTTATTTCTCGCGTTCATCGAGTAGTGAAGAAGGGCTCTGCGATTATAGGTAAGACAACGAATCATAACCCGCGACGACGTCTAATAGGTTTATTATAATAAACATAAACATTATAATATAGTGTAAATGCAATAAAAGCATCAATTGATGATCGCATGTAAACAACAGCTTTGTTTAATAATGTACGTTTGCAGATAATGGAAAAGCAGGAGAGGAAGAGTGGAACCCATGGGAAGAGGATGAGCGTGCATATTCCTTATCTCTGCAAAAGCGCAGGGATACCTTCAGATCATACCAAGATCACGCTGCTAAGAACAGGCCAAAAACATATAAAGTTCAGATCTGGGGCAAAGCTGCCATTGGCAAGTGGAATATGTTTATTGGTTCCAGAGATCATTGCATTGCTTGTTGCATTAGTAGAGAACATGAATGAAATGGTGTTCTTTGTTCACATTTGCCTAGGACTTTATTTGTGGGAACATGTTTTAGAAGGGCCTCTCAACCCACCAGACAAATCCAGCCAATGGAGAGAAGGAGAGATTCAGTCTGGGAAGATCCATTTCAGGTAAGCTTTTAACTGACACTTTTTAACAAGGATGCATTAAACTGATCAAAAGTGAAGGCTTTTATAATGTTACGGATGGGTTCTATTACCAATAAATGCTGTTTTAAAATTCAGATGGAAGTGCTGAAAATGCATTAACAAATACATTTGAAAAGATATTAATATAAAATAGGTATTTTAAATTGTAATAATGCTTAATATTGCTAAAAAATTATCTTGTTTAAATAATTGCAGCCTTCTTGAGCACAAGAGATTTTCATTCCGAGTCATTCGGAATTGTAAGGATAAAAGAAACTAGAATACTTTGATCTCCTGAGAGGCAAACAATGCACTGGCATACTGTAGTATGTAACAACAGTAAATAAATATGTATACACATTTTTAACCAATACACATTCTCATAATGTGTCTGTTTTACCTATAAATCCTTTAATTGCAAAATAGACGCTTTACTTTAAATGTGGACATCACCGATTAATTGCATGATATTTTTCCTAATAATAAAGCATTATGTTCCGTTTCCAGAACCCACAATTTTGTAATCTCTCTTTAATCGTAATCTGTCCTCAGTTTCTACACAGGGCCAGCAGTGGTCCAAGGGCACGTTTCTCTCGACACAGACAGTGTGGTGTTGGTTTTGAATGGCCGTGAGCAGCTGAAAATCTCGTACTCCATCCAGTGGCTGCAGCACGTCCAGGGTATAGTGCAGATGCGCTCGGTCTCTCGGGTTGCTGTGGTTCTTTTGGGCAATGAGCAGTGTAATAATGACTGGATCAGTCCATACCTTAAGAGGCACGGTGGGTTTGTGGACCTGCTCTTTCTTGTGTACGACAGTCCTTGGGTCAATGATAAAGACATCTTCCAGTGGCCACTGGGTGTTGCCACGTAAGTTTCTATTTTTAAAAAATATTTATTTTTTGTTTTATATTTTATTATACTTGAAAGAGGTATTTCTGTAATATTTTTATTAGCATCTGGTTTTATTATTATTTTTTAAATATAATTGAGAATAAAATCAGTTAATTTAATTGTTTATAATGTGCTTTTTCTTTCTTTGCAGATACAGGCATTTCCCCGTAGTCACACTTAGCGGTCAGATGCTGAAAACTGCTAGACCATATCTCTGCAACTTTCTCGGGACTATGTACAAAAACTCCTCCAGGGAAACTCTCATGGGCGTCCTGCAGCAGAACGGCATGGAGAAAGATTGCCTCATGCATGTTAGAGAGAAGTACGTATTTCTGGAAGTACTGTCAATTATTTTCAACAAATTGCATTCATATCAAAATTGCAGGATATATGAAGCTGTAAAATACTAAATAATTAAAATACTTACTCCATCGTTAGGAAAAAAAAACAAAAAAACTTGTATTCAGGTAACTGTTTTTTTCGTCAGTACTTTTATTCAGCAAGGATGCATTAAATGGATCAAAAGTGTCAGTAAAGACA